GAACAGAGCAAAAAAAAAAGAGAACCCCCCCCCCCCCCCGGGATGGCCACGCACAGTCCCGTCTCCTCCGTTCCCCACTCAGCATTTCGGGCATACACGCACACGTACCCTGTGTGAGTTTCAAGCCTCTGGGTCCAGGACTCAAACTGTAGTTGGCCATGAAGAAGTCTAGTGCCTTAATGACTACGCTGCCCACCGGCTCTGCGGCTGGCTCATTAGGTGTTATTGGCAGGGCCCGTCGGTGGCATGGTGGTCAAGGTGCTGTGGGTCCCATGTGGTCAGCGATGCAGTTTGAGTCCTGCACCCGCTGGGTTGGGAGTCACACAGGGTGTGTGTGCATACTCAGAATCCCAAGAGGGACTGAGGGAACAGTGACTCCGGCCTGGCCATGCCCCTGGGGGTGTTTTCTCATTTGTCCTCTCTCTCTGTGTGTGTCTTCGAGCACACGTGCCCTAAAACAGAAAAAAAATGTTATCTATAGTTTCTACTTTAATTTATTATTTTTTAAAAAAGAATTATTTAATTTTATTTATTATTATTATTATTTTCCAGGATTTTTTTTCCTTTTTTTGGAGAGATTTTTGCTATAGGGTGTGTTTGCTCACCAGACAGACAGAGAGAGACAGAGAGATAGAAAGCGAGAAATCACCCCCCAGGAGGGATGGTCATGCCGCAATCCTTTCTCCTTCATTCTCTTCTCGGGATCTTGGGCACGCACGCACATGCGCCCAACGTGAGTTTAAGCCTCCGGGTCCGGGACTCAAACTGCGGTCGACTACGTGGGAGTCCAGCGACATAGCCATTACGCTAACTGCTGGTCCCTTATTTTCCAGTTTTGATCCGATGGAGAGAGAGATAGAAGGGGGGGGGTGAAAAAGCAAGCCGTCAGGTACAGGACTTGAACCACGGTCAGCCATGTGGGAGTCCAGCACCATTAACCACCACGCCACCTGCCAGACTCCTACTTTATTTTTGAGTCCATTGAGAACTTAGGTGCTTGCAAAGCAACCCCAAAGCAAAAGTGTAGACGTTTATGATTCTTTTTTCAGTCTTTTCTAGATGTTACGCCACATCTTAATTCAACAGCAGTGTTTTTTGGGAGTCATATTTAGCAAATTTTTCTTTCTTTTCTTTCTTTCTTTTTTTTTTTTTAAGTTTATATATTTCTTTCATGAGAATAAGAAACAATGAGACAGGGGCCGGCCAGTGGCATGATGGTTAAGGTGCTGGACTCCCTGCGTGGTCAACCACTGTTGGAGTCCCGAACCGGGCGGCTTGCTTTCTCACCCCCCCCCTCTGTCCTTCTGGTAAATTAAAATAAATAAAGTTAAATAAGATAATTCTAAAAAAAAAAAAAAAAGAGAGAGAGAGAGAGAGAGAGAACGAGACAGAGAGATAAGTGCCCTCCGCAGCGTCTGCACATTATGGCCCCTCTCCTGGCCTCCCAGCCAGTTAGAGTCATGGTGTTGCGGAGTGAGCAGGCCACCAGAACCGAACCCTCTTCCGCGTGGATTCAACCCCACGTCAGCATTGCACCCCCTGGCCCTACCAGCTGGCTGCTGTGGAGAGTGAGAAACAAGCAGCATTCATTGAGATCCAGTCCTCACGTCTCTTGGAATCTTGAGGCTGTTCTGGTGACGTGGCCGGCACAGCTGGCCGGGCAGCCGCGTGCCGTCCAGTGCATGCCACGACCCAGAGCGTGGCCCATCCAGGTGGCGGTCAGCAGGGCCCGATGAGGGGCTCTACTGCAGTACTGGGCCCGACGGCCACATCCTCTTCCAGCGGGTTGTGCGCCCGCCGAAAGCTTGGAGCGTGGCCGTCCTCCAGCTCTGTGCTCACGCCTCTGGCGGAGACCTAGGTAAGCTCGGTAAGCTCCAGACGTTCTGGTCAAGTGCCGGTGACTTCGAGTAGTTTATCTTTTTATTGCTGTTTCCATAGTTTGTAACATCGGCATGTGTTTCTGTATAATCAAGAAAAGAAGAATCAAAAACAGGGTTTTAAAAACATTTTTAGTTTAGTTTTTTTTTTTTTTTTTTGCCATAGGGTGTGTGTGCTTTCTGGAGAGAGACAGAGGGAAAGGGAGGAATCACCCCCGAGGGGGGACACCACAATCCCTTCTCTTCTCTTCTCTTTCTGGGATTTGCGGCACACATGCACATGTGCCTGGCATGATTTTCAAGGCTCCGGGTCCAGGACTTAACAACTTAGGAAAATCAAGTGTTTGTAAGAGCCATTTACAGCAGATGAAAGAGGGCAAGGGGAGACACGTTCTTTACAGGTTTCCTGTGTAAAAGGGCGCCATGACTTTCCCGACGGCCCCGTTAATGCTGGGGCAGCAGGAGCCTGAGACAGGCTGACAGGGAAGGCGACCAAGCAGCTCCCCAGCAGGTCTCCCGCAGAGGCTGGAGCCGTGTGCTGCCAAGGCCCTGCCGCAGGAGGTGCCCGCAGTCTCCCCAGCAAGATGCCCCCTCCAGATGGTGGCACAGGGCGAAGTTGCTGAACCCTCACGGGGTCCCGCTGGGGGCCGTCCGCCTCCCTCCACACAGGAGAGAGTAGAGAGACGAACAAGCTGGCAGGAGTGGCTGGTCAGACCAGCTGAGCCGGCTGGACACTCGCTGCTCCTCTCCTGCAGTTCCCAGAGAGTCGAGTCACTGTTTCCGTGTCCCTTCTGCGGGGCTGTCTTTACACTTTTTACAAAAGCTCTTCGTGGACCAGTAGGTGCTGTGGTGGTTAAGGGTGCTGGACACTCCCACATGGCCAACCACAGTTTGAATCCCAGACCTCGTGGCTTGCTTTCTGATTTTCCCTCTCTCTATGTCTCTCTCTGATCAAATCAAAATAAATGAGTGAATAAATAATTAAATACTTTTTAAAAACAAATAAACAAAAAAGTCTCTGTGGGACCAGCAGATGATGTAATTGTTAGTTACTGGACTCCCACATAGTTGACGGCAGTTTGAAGCCTGGACCTGGTGACTTAAAAAACATGCTGAGCACATGTATGCATGCTCAAAATCCCGAGAGGAGGATGCAGGAGTAGGGATTGCAGCATGGCCATCCCTCCTGGGGGGTGATTTCTCGCTGCCTGTCTCTTTGTCTCTCTAGCAAGTGCCTACACCCTATAACAAAAATCTTTCTTTAAAAAAAAAAAAAAAACCTGTGTTATTGCCATGGCACAGTGACTGGAAGCTGTGCATGGAGAGATGGAGCCTCACAGCTGGCCTCGGTTCGAGCCCTGACCCTGGTGCTTTGAAAGACATGCTGGCCTTGTGTGCAGGCGTGCCCAAGCCCTGATGGGTGAGCGCATGCTCACTCGCTCGCTCTCAGGCTCACTCGCCTTCTAGCAGTGAAGACGGAGGGGCTCCCTCCTCTGTCCCCAACTTCCTAATGGGCTGTTTCTGCAGCATGTGAGTTAGAGGATAAGTCGGATGTGTCCAGCTAGGACAGGAATGACCGAGACTTGCTTTCTCTCCTGGTGACAGTCATGGAGAGGCGGCCATGTAGCTGCCTGCCCGTGACCCCATCAGCAGGGGCGTGGTGCTCGTCCTTGAGTCCCGTCACCCACCTAGCTGGCACATCAGGTAGAGGGGCAGGGTGGCTGAGCGCATGGCCCTGGGGGTCCTAGTCATACGGCCTCTGTGCTGGGTGGCTGAGTGCCTTGGGACAGCAGACTGCCGCGGCGTGCTCCTCCCACCTGGCACCTGTGTTCGGGTCTCCAGCCTGCTCTAGCCAAGACATGCAGGTGTGTATGTGTGCCCGAGATCAGACGGGACGCAGCGTGGCCGGGCCCTGTGGAGGGTGCCCGTGTCTCACGCTCAAGCTTCCACGTGTGCTGCACGTGCTTTTTCATGAATGAAGATGGGGTTAGAGGTGTGTGGCGGGGCCAGGGGCAGCAAGTAGCCGTGCTGTGGTCAGCAGACCCCGGAGGGCGGGCACTTCAGTGACGGCTTCCCTGGGACCTGGCTTGGTGCCCGACACAGCAGTGAGCTTCGGCAGGAAAGCCTGATGTTATTGGGAGTCCTTTGAGGCAGACACCCTCCAGAATTGTGAGTGGTGGACGAGTACGCTTTCTCTCATGGGTGCTTCCCACCTGGCCGTGGCCTGGACAGGCAAAGAGGCTTCCCCTGCCGGGCTTTGATGTGCTTTTGTTTGAGGCTCCAACCAAGTGTCTAATGCCAGTTGCTGGTAAAATCCGTCCTTTCATTTCTTTGTTCTTATCTCGTAGTTCAAGCAAGCAGTATATAAGCAGACCATGAAACTGTTTGCCGAGCTGGAGATTAAGAGAAAAGAGAGAGAGGCCAAAGAGATGCACGAAAGGTACGTACTGCTGTGTGTGCGTGTGTGTGTGCATGCTTTTTTGGGGGGGGGGTTTGCTATAAGGGCGCATGTACTCACTGGAGAGAGAGGGAGACAGAGACAGAAAGTGAGAAATCAGCCCCCAGCAAAGATGGCCATGCCATAATCCCTTCTCCGGTCCCTGGTGAGATTTTGGGCACACATGCGTGAGTGCCCAGCGTGAATTTCAAGCCACTGGGTCCAAGATTGAAAATGTAGTCGGCCCTGTGGGAGTTCAGCGATGAGACCATTATGCCATCTGCTGGTCCTGGTCTCGGGCTTTTTCTTTCTTCCTTCCTTCCTTCCTTTCTTTTTTAATTTAAGTTTATTTATGTTCATTCAGTGTATGTCATATAAAATGAGATTTCCATCCAGAATACACTGTGTACTGATTCAGTCAAGCACATCAGCAAACGTGATTTCAACAAATAGTTTTCCATTTCCTATTTCCTGTATGTTTTGCTTTTTTTGGCCATCCTTGATTCCCTCTCTCTCACCCTCTGCCGTGCCCCACCTTCCTCCCTCACTGTCTCTGGAATCCATGGTTGCTTTCTATGCCTTTTCTCCCTATTTTATTGATTCACTAATGAACTTAATCTAAATATTTCCAGTAGCAAGCGCAGCTGATATATACATATCCATGAACACAAGTCTGACTTTAGGCACAAACCTCAGTGAGTAGAATGAACATACTACAAAGTAGCACCTAGCTGGGGGTACATAGCTTACTGCAGTCATCAAATATGCATTTATTCTTAATTTCAAGAAAAACAGTTTTTGTGTATTTTTTTCCTCTTGAAACTTTTTTTTTATTAATCAATTTACATTCATCTCCTAAGCATCGTCACAGCATGCAGAATGTGGTTTCCATCCAGAATATACTGCATGATACTGCATAGTGGCTTAATCATGCATGTTATCATCAATAATTTTCCATTTCTAGCTTCATATACATATATATTTACCCCTATGTCTGATCCTCTGCCCTTTTCCACCCTCTTCTCACACTATCTCTGGTGTCTACAGTGGTCTTCCATTCCTTTTCTCCCCACATATTACTGATCACACAATTTCTTAAATAAACTACTTACAATAGAAGTTCAGCTGGTAATTTCAAGAAAAGCAGTTTTGAATTGGTAAGAAAATTTGCTTAAAACTTAAAACCTGGAAACAGGTTAGTTTTCTGTTCAGATAGTAGGTATGTGAACCTATTGACAGCTGAAGACAGGACAAAAACTATTTTTTTTTTTGGAGAGGTTTTTGC